AAAAGACTCTAAAGATTGCACTGCAGTGTAAAGAAGCCAAATCTAAAGGAAAACATATTGATGTGAAAGAGCTGAACAGACCATTTCAAAGGGCAGCTCAAGAGAACAGAACAAAATATTAAAACGGAATGTGCAGAGAGATGGAACAACCAACTACATAGGCATGTGAAAATTGGACAGTGGATAAGGAAAATCAAAGAAGAATCGATGCCTTTAAATTGTTGATATTGTTGTTAGGTGCCGTAAAGTTGAGTACAACTCATATGTCTTGAACTTGTAACAGAGCAAATAAATCTATCTTGGAAAAATGTTGACAGAATGTTCCATAGAACTAAGGACTGTGATACTTTGTCTCACATACTCTGGACAGATAATGATGAGAGGCCAGTCCCTGGGACATTGTGCTTGGCCAAGTATTTGTTACTGTGTGCCATCAAGTCAGAACCAACTCATAGCTGACCCTTCAGCAGATTTCCAAAGACAGTAAATTGCACAGGATGAGTTTGACCTCTTCTGAACAGTTTGTGAATTCAAACTGCATGCTTTGAGGATTGCATTATAGTTTCTTACCACTAGGTCACAAGAAAGTACAAGTCAATAAATGAGTGATATCTATAATAACCTTCTGTCAATAACTTGGTTTTGAAATTGGAACAACTAAGGACGTCAGTCTGGAGACTAAGGTGCACCTGATCCAGGCTATAGTCTTTGCAGTTACGTGCTATGCATCGGAGAGTGGACAGTGAATAGGGATAAAAGAAAGAGAATTGATGCCTTTGAGCTGTGGTGCTGGAGAAGAGTGCTGAATATACCCTGGACTGCTAGGAGAACAAACAGGTTTGTCCTCAAGAGAGTGAAGCCAGAATGTTCCCTGGAGTCAAGGATTCTGAAGCTTCGTCTGACATACTTTGGGCATGTTATAAGGAGGGACTGGTCCTTGGGGAGGGACATCATGTTTGTGAGAGTGGAGGGACGGCGCAGGAGAAGAAGACCCTCGATGAGATGGATCGATTCTGTGAGTGGAGTGGTGGGAATGAATGTGTTTGAGACAGCAAGGTTGGCACAGGATAGAACAGTGTTTAGGGCTCTAGTACATAGGGTCGCTATGAGTCGCAGACAACTCGATGGCACATAACAACAACAACAAGGATTTCTTCCAGTCAATTGCCCAAGTAGCTATCTTTCAAATTCACTTGGCACAGGCTAGTGACCACAGAGCACAGAAAGTCTTGAACAATAGCATTAATATCACATACAAGTAAAATCTTGCTGAAGATTATTTAAAAACTAGTGGAACAGTATGTTGACAGGGAACTACCATAAATTCAAGCTGAATTCAAAAGAGGCTGTGAAATGAGGGATATCATTGCTGGTGTCAGCTGGATCTTGGCTAAAACCAGACAGTACCAGAGAAATAGTTATATTTTTTTATTGATTATGCAAAAGTTTTTGACTACGTGATTATACAAATTATGGATAACACTGCAAAGAATGGGAATCCTAGGACACTTCATCTGAAACTTATACATAGACCAAGAAGCAATTGTCCAAACAGAACAAGGGAGCACTAACTACATAGGTTTAAAATTAGGACAGTTATGTGCCAGAATTCTATCCTTTCTGTATACCTGGTCAATCTGTATGCTGAGTAAATGATTAAGAACCTTTATTATATGAAAAAGAATGTGATATTACAATTGGAGAAAGACTCATCAGCAGATTACACACCTTGCTTGCAGAACGTGAAGAAGACTTGAAGCATTTCCTGCAGAAGCACTTAGGGTCTTCATATGGGTTACATCCCAACCTCAGGAAAGCAAAAATCCTCACTACTAAATCAATAAGCAACATTAATGTAGATGGAGAAAAGACTGATACTGTCAAGAATTTCATTTTACTTGGATCCACAATCAACATCCATGGTAAAATCAGTGTGTTAAATTAAGAAAATCTGCTGACAATAGCCTCTCCAAAGTGCTAAAAAAGCAGGGGTGTCAGTTTTAAGATGAAGTGTGCCTCATTCAAGGCATGGTATTTTCTTTCGCTTCAAAAAGATATGAAAATTGAACAAAGTAAAGAAGACCAGAGATTAACTTTGAATTATGGTGCTGGCAAAGAGTATTGAATATATACCATGGACTGCCAAAAGAAAAATAAATCTGTCTTGGAGGAAGTGCAACCAGAATGCTCCTTAGAGACAAGGATGTGTGAAACTTCATCTCATTTACTGTAGGCATATTGTCAAGAGAGACCAATTCTTGGAAAAAGACATCATGCTGAGAAAAGTGAAAAGTCAGAGAAAGAAAGCAAGATTCCCTTAACAAGCTGGATTGACACAGAGACCATAACACTCTCTTGACTTGAGGATGGTGCATTTGTGAGGACAGAGTAGAAGAGGGCAAGCTTCAGATCTATTGTTCATAGGGTCCCTATAAGTAGTAGTTGGCTGAATGGTACCCAACAATAGCATCAACAACTCTAAAATAATATTCTTATAAATATGTGTTCTTTATGGTGTTTATTATAACATAACATTGGGAATGATGTTAATAACAGTCAATTATTAGTTGTTAATATTAATAATAGTCAACATGAGCATTCTGTTTCTCCCTAGTTTTATTTTTTCTTCACTTCAACCCAAGACATTACACCTTCAGTGAAAATATCTGGAGGTCATACTGTGCATCTTCTGGGAATCTGCTTTTATACTTAGAGCTGTAATGATTCTGCTT